TTATAGTTTCTATTTTATTTTTTTTAATAAAATCACTTTAAATTTAATTAAATACTTTACAATTTTAAATCCAATAAATAAATGAAAATGAACTAAAAATATTTTAAAATATATTTTAATTAAAAATATAATTTTATGAATAATTAAATTAAAAGTATACTTTTTTATACATAATTAAATTAAAAATATTTTTTAAAACTGTATAATGATTATTCTTTAATAATTTTAAGTTAATATAATAAAAAAGTTATAATTATAATTTAATTGAAATTTTAATATATGAAAAATAGATAGTATAATACTTATTTATCAGAAGAAGAATGTAATTTATATTAACAACCATATATTACATGAACTAAATTTTATATTTTAATATAAGAGGTTATAATGGCATCATACTCTCTTCTCTTATCTCTTGTGAAAGGATAACTAATTTCCTCTAATAATAATAATATATAACCTTCAATCAAATGACAATACTATATTCCACGTCTACCACAGCTTAAAATCTTGAATTTCTTTTTCATTTCACAAATCATAGCACTTATTTATAACTTGGATGACTCACGTAATGAAGAGCAAAACCAAGTTTGAAGAACAAGCTCGCAGAAATGTCGTGACTCGAATCCAAAATTCTATTACTTCTGAACCCAAATCTGCTAGGCTACTTTCTAGATTGTTGCTCTCAACATTAATTTGCTTCATGCCTTCATCTATTGCCCATTTTATTGCTTAGCTGTCATATCCATAATTTGAGGCATATTAGCATCAGCAAACCAATTATTAGATTCCTTCTGTGACAGTTGATCTTGAATCTATCCTATTGGATGTCACAAATTTGTATATGTAGAAAATATATGGTCGAAGCCAAAAATTTGTATGTGCTGGACCTTGGTCCAGGCTTATCAATGAGACTGGTGTTTCTTTGCTCTGCCTTGAGGGGCTGTTGAGTCGTCTCTCTTAGAACCCTCAGGTTTACGTGCCCATGGTGGTGCTTGATCTGGACCATAACGATAATCATAGAAGAGCTCCTCACTAGCATCGATGTGTTCCTTGGCAAAAATTCCTACTCGGTGATCTCCAGCAACCAGCATTACCTATGCCACAAGTACAAGAGGCCAATCATTGTAACCTTGAAAGATCAAGTTCAAGCAAGTATCCAAAGGCAAAAAGGTAAAACTTTAAAGCACCCCAAAACTTTAGTTTCTGAACTCACCTTTGCATAGCAGTTAGGGTTTGATGAGTGATTGGCAAATTTTAACTTATCCCCTTTGCGATAAGCATCAAGAACGTACTGTTAAAAAACAGATAGCAGCTTTAAGTAAAATAAGCAGTTTGCATCCCCAAATTGTTATAGCTTGCATAAAAAAGATGTGACAGAAAATACTAGGCTGACGAAAAGAAATATAATAAAACAATAATATATGACTCAATCTCTTATAAATTACGAGTAAACACAAATAAATGAGAAAAGAGCCACATCAGCACAAGATAGGAGAAAATATAGATGATGCCAGATATTTGCCTGATCATTCAAGTCAAAAAGGAAAGACGAGTTTGCACGATCATATATTTTCCCACGCTTATCGGCTTCTCGGTGGGAGATCAGTTCTCCTGTGTACTCTCCTAGGTAATCATTTTTGTTAACTGGATTCTGAAATATCATCATCAATTAGTGAGGTGAACAAGCAAATGCTGTTAGAATTTAGAAAACAAATAAATATTAATCTTATTAACTTTCAAGAAGGCTCCCCATCCTGCAACATCAGACTTTGCCAAGAGAATCTGACAGACAAATAAAAAACAGTGAGACCCATATACATGCATTATGCATCCATGATTTTGATTCACGAGAAAGAATGAAATGCAGATAATTTGAATTCCTAAGCTCAAAATTACTAACCCTCTGTTGTTGCCTTAAAAGAAGCCTCATATTTCCACATTGACCTTCTCCACGCCGAGGTGGCTCCCCTAATGAACCATCCCCACAGCTACATAAAGAACATAACTTTCAAAAGCATTCACAAAGATTAAAGGGGGAAACAGGTGAGAAAAATTTAACCGATACAACATATATAGACCAGATATAAACAAAATAATTACATGAGTGTAACTTTGGTTTTACAAGTCAGTCAATAAATATACCTAAACAAGCAAAATGACCAGATATTACTTCTGATTTTGTGAAAAATGACTTTCTTGATCAAATGAAGTAATAAAATCGAGACATGCTCATTCAAAAGCCTAGGAGTCATAAAATCATGTTTACAGCAAAAATATTTGGCATATTACCTAACCCAACAATTCCGACAGACATCTGGGTCACATTCCCTTCCTGCAGCAAAGCATGGGCATTGTCGACTTCTGCACTGACTCTTGGCACAATGACATCCTCTAAATCGATTTTTGCAGCTTTTTGAACAACTGATGGTAGAGGAGCCAAGTCATCACATTAAATCATAATTAGCTAAAAATTACATTAGTCAAGTCTGATAGTTCACAAATTAAGTTGAAAATGCATATCATAGAAGCCTATCAAAACAGTGGAAAAAGAAATTTTGAAGAAATAGCTTTATATCCTCTTACTCTGAAATAAATGATCTTTTCTTATTTTGTATTCAAAAGCTTGCTAACCAAGTGAAACTATACTTGACAATTGACCACCAATCCAGATTAACCTAGTTATGTTATGATCATAGCCCCATGATTGCTAACAGAATAATTCAAACAGTCCAGCACATTACACGGGGTCACGAGAAACATATATCAAGCAATTTTCTCTCTCATTATACTACTAGAAAAGCTACATAATTAAATGAAAAGTGACATACCCGCAATATTTTTCACAGCAAGTTCCACCATTAACACAACTACATTCCTTTCCACACATTGACTGACATCCACATGGTGTATACTGCTTGCAAGATTGGTTTTTCCCATCAGCAATTCTTTTCCATATTGATGGGTGGCCAGCAGCCTTCCAAGAATATTTAAACTTCCTTGTTTTGCCCCTTTTCCTCAGCAACCGTGATCTAGATGGCATCTCCTGGTCCTAATATGAAAACCCAGATAGAAAATTATTTTTTATGGCATCTAAATAATAGGAGTTACTCATAAAGGTTGGTAGAAGTTGTCAGAACAAAGATTTGCATAATAAGTTTAAGTGCAGCTAGCAGAAAATTCAAAATGATAATTTTTTTTTGTTAAAAAAATTGAAGAACTCATCATACAAAACAATCATGATAAGGTGAGAAAGAAGAAAAGAACATTTATCAACACAAAAGTAAATCAATCTCTTGACATGTACGATCTAGAAACATCATATTTATTAGGTAACCAAATATTAAAAGCTAGAAAAACTCCTATCAGAGTCAATTCATATTTTTTGAAGTTTAATGCCTAAATAGACTATTGAGATAAGAATTCTCCCATGTGGCCAAGAATTTCAGAATATAATGATGTTGGTTATATAACTTTTTTAAAATAAAAAATTTGGTCAAAACAATTGGTACATAACAAAACCACGACTTATCAAACAGTTGGGTCCCTTATGGTATTATTACATATGGAAAATTTTATTTTCCATCTTCACCAATCCTCCCCCAACCCCCAAAGAGAAAATAACAAAAAGACAATCAAGATAACAAGACAAGACAAGACACATGAATGTAGCATAAAGAAGATATAAACAGGAAAGCTTGTAATTCTCACTGTGCACTCTACATCAAATTTTCCCTTGTCTTCCATGATTGAACTAGATGCAATAATAGATCCGTGGGGCATTGACACTCCTCCAGAATGCATGTAACTAGCTATTTCCATGCAAGTCTTCATGCCAGAAAGTAAGTTCCTTGCTATGAGGCAACTGCAGAGTATGAGTTACACTTGACATGAGCACAGAATAAAATTAGACCTCTACATGAAGTAGATATCTATGACAAGAAAATGCACTATGCTTTAGTTTCATTTACTTATGAACATTAGTCACAATTGGGGAAGTTGCCTGCAAAGGTTTCAAATTCATGCAGTTTATTAGTTGTTATTACTTGCAGTTCAGAGAAAATCAAGTGCTAAATGTGGTTCAAACTTCAATACTTATTATTGATTGCATAATACAGTGAAAAGGCTGCTGCAAAAGAGCCCAACACCAGCACAAGAAATAAGAATATTTCACAAAAGAACAAAGAAAAACATGATATGATATATGGATATAATACATGTTATACATTAAGTTCAACGGACAATTGTGAAAGAAAGATTTGTTTTCGAAGGTACAACACTTCATTATTAGGATACAGGTGTTAAACCTAATCGGTAATACAATTTTGTGATAAAGTAGGGGGTGTTACAAGATGACATTTTAGCAACATTTCAAATCATTTCTTTGTGCCCCACTCCACACTACCCTCACCTTACCAACCCCTATCAAGAATGTGGTAGGTGGGTGGGGGAGGTCAAGTTCAAAATTTCTTATGGATCATGATATCAAGATAATTTATTACTTTCAGGGAACAAAAAATAGCACTCAATTTACTCAATAGAACATGAAAAGTACAATCAAAACTTACGAACTCCTTCCAAGTTAGTGCCTTTATTTTCTATAGTTACTCGTGTCTTCCAGAAGATTAAATGAAATTGAAGCTAAAACAAGAGGTTGGATTTGTATTATTAAAAGAAAAGTGTAACTTCCATTACAATAATAATAATTCTAACAAACTGTGTATAGAACAGGCAAATAAACATATATACTAGACTTTAGATAGTTCACACACACAATAAATTAAATATGGTGCCATCCTTGCATTTCTCAACATATTAGTGTGAGGTGAAACATGGAAAGGTCAATACCTGTTTCTGCCAAACATTTCTACTCCCTTTAAGTATAATTCTTTCTCCAGAGGTTTCCAATCTGAGAGACTTATCATCCCATCATTTTTCACTTCCATTGAATTGGACAACTTCTTAAATTCTGTCTTATTTATAGGATCTTTTGGTCCATCCCCAATACTTTTGTCCTGCTCATCACTATGGCAAGTGCTAGAAGACTCTATTAATTTATTTGAATCATGTGTAACAGCTTTGTCCAAAACTGCACATGTGATTGTATGTTGACTTTCATCACATGCACCTAAATTTATGTCCTTACTAGAATCACTATTTACAGTAACTACATCATCTGAGATTGTCTTCAGCTTTTTACAGGAATTCTGAGAATCATCAGGAGGGAGTGTTGGGTCACAGAAGGCAGTGTCTGACTGATCTGTGGCTTTTCGTTTTTCCACACTAACTGAGATAGGAACATTTAAATTGAGAGATCCATGACAATCAACATCTGTTGGAAAAGGTAATGTACTCTGATTACTAGGTTCTTCTATATTGGAGGGTGCCAATACCCCATCTGTCTCTTCCATAATTGTAGATCTTTTATTCTGCTCAGACCTAGAAGTTGAATCTTCGGACACACATTTGACTACCTTTACCTGCGGGCAATTGAAATGACAATCAAATACAAGAAACACTGATGAGTTGAAATTGTAGCTGGGTGCAAAAGCTGGCACACGTAGATACACAGATACACATATAGAATCATTCACCATATACTAAGTGTAAAGCAAGCCTTATTAAGGCTACATGATTCATATAAATTTTTTTTACAAGAATTACTTCCAATATAAATCAACAGAACATTGAAATGCCACCAAATTTATTGTATAATGGTTCTGACTGTCAATGAAAACATGCTAAACAGAATACCAACAATTGGGTAAAAATGACTAATTTCATCTCTTTGAGAATTGAAAACAAGTAATGTTCTATTTTCATTCCTGCCTCAAAAATTAACAAATAATCAAATCTCAGACAAAGAATAATACCTGAAGGTAACACTGATCACTGCATGGTTTCCTGTCACCTTCAGGATCAGACCAAACTGTCTGCTTTTCCCTCTGAAGTAAACCATCAAATTAGCTTTATGGACGAACTAACTAAAGATTACATTGAAAATAACACAGAGCATTGTTACTTACAGGATATATTAAAGGTTGAGAACAGCCATGCAGACGACAGTCAAAAATCTGCTATATGGAAGCAGAAAAAAAGTATAGATGCACTCACTATGAATAAGAATGCTAAAAAGCTTATGCTTTAGTACGTACCAGGCATCGGCGACAAAAAAGATTATCAAAAGAATCTAATGCAGCACTAAGGCTTTTCTCTGGACATATGCCAATAGTAGATTCAGGTTCTCCTGAGTTTTCTGAAGGCTGGTCTAACCTTCCAATGTTCTTTTCCTTGATACTTTTGTACCTCTCCTACACATTTTTAAAAAAACAAAATTCTCCCATAAATAAAAAATGGCTTCTCACTATACATCCCTACAGTGCAATGTTTTTTTCTTCTTCTATACTTAAAATTGACAATCATGAAGCATATACTCTCACACAGAAGTCATTCAAGATTACCTGAATTTCTAAACTGGTGCCCCCAACAAATTCGCTAACAATATTCAGTACCTCCTCTTTTAACCCATATTCCTCAAATGCCATCCTAGCAAATTCAATAGTCAAGGCAGTACTTATCAGTGCACGTTCTTAAAATAGCTCTATCTATTCATTTTAACTTACCATAGAACTCGATCTTCAGACTCAGAAAATTCATGTTTTTCTTCCTCAGGTTCTGTTAACTCTTCCTCACTGTCACTACATATCAGTGCTTCACTTCCATGTTGATCATAGTAGATACGTCTTCTTCCAACCACTGACTGATCTTCAGCCATCCTCTGATTTCTGGTGTGTTTGAAAGATTTTAAAATAGGATAAAATATATTTTACAATCTGCATACTAACTGATCAATAAGTATTGAAATCTCATTTTCTATTTCTAATGTGTTTGAAAGATTTTAAAATAGCATGAAATACATTATTAAGTCTTAATACTCACTGATCAATAAGTATTGAAATCTTATTTTCTATTTTAAAATGGAAAGAAGCAGGAAGTGTCAATTTGGGAAAAAAAAATTGCCCAACAGGCACATCAGGACAGAAAATTAAATATTTGCAAGTTAAAACACCTGTCCAGAAATATCCAAGAGGTATATGGTGGTAATCTTTCGATGTATGGAATTTTGATACTTGGAGTTGTAGCGGATAATAAATCTTGATTGTTGTGGTCTTTGTCTCCTGAGACTGGAGAGAAACCACTGAATTTACATAAAGGATGGTCCATTCTTGAAGAAAGAATTGGAATTTTCCTATTTTCCTCTGTCCGTGAAGAACCCCTTGTTGATATTGCTGACATGACTCCTGACATATGACAATGTAGCTTCTTCTCATTCCTCTGAATTTTTTCCTGCAGAAATATAACTAAGGTTGATTGCAAGCTAACTTGCAAGGAGTACAAAAGGAAGGCATCTCAACCTTGAATTTTTCAATTGAATAAGTACAAGTTCAAATTGCAATCATAACATAAATATGTACCCAGAAAAATACAAAGTAAAACTGCTGGAAGCTTATACAAAGGTTTGCCACCAATATAAACAAACAAAATAAAAAAAATAAAAATACCACAATGTAAAATCAAAAGGATTTGGAAGGATCTCTTGTAGTACTCTTATAGTTTATTTGTATTTTCTTAATAGTTTTGGTTATCTGTTTTTTTTTTTTTAAACAATGACAATATCCAAATCTTATTTAGAAATTGTACAAAATATTATATAACAAAGAGAGAAACAAGAAGGTGAGAGAAAAGTGTGAAATAAAATAATTAATGTGATGGAGGAGTAAAAGTAGTGTTGTAGAATGTGTTATAGAAATTTGTTGCATGAATGATACAATTCAATCCAATTCTCTGTGGAAAAGCTCAAATAAGAACTTTTGAACTGCATTAAAAATTTTACATAATCTAGTTTGCATACAAAAATAAATGCTACAAGAAAGAGGTTATTGCCATTTTTCTTCAATTAAAAGGAACAAAAAAGTAATCTGGTCAGCAAACAGATCACAACCCTTTTCAAGAAGAATCAAGCCATCGGAGAATAAACTTGATACCAATCTTACTTTAATGTATGCAATTCTCTCCGCCTGGATTTGCCTTTTCAACTGGTTTATCTTGAAGGGTAAAGTTCCGATAGCATCATTTGTTGAGTCTCCAGGTTGAGTCTGTCAACATTACCAAACAAAATATTAGCACATTCAAGATACAAAAACATAAACTCCAAATCAAAATTCACAACAGATGTAAAATTTCAATTATCACATGCAGCAGACGAACCATTCAACAAGTATCGTTTTCTAATGAAAATATCAATAACAAAACAGAAACCAAAATTCACAATTAAGCACAATCCGGAAGCCCTACTAGCCAACTCAATTGCTGTGGCATTCAATTACAGAAAGAAAGACTGAGGAACAAAAGGCTCTTAAATGAAGTTTGTGATTATCCGATCAAATTCGAAATTCTAGCTTGGTATAATCCAATTCTGAAAAATAGTTATGAATTACAACACCGATTACGATGAATCAGAAAAAAAAAAAAAAACGAATTAAATCATCTAAACGAGTTGTGTATTAGTTATTGTTGAATAGAGGAAAGAGGAAGAAACTGACTCGAGGTTTGGAAGCAGAGTCGGTAAGTTTGGACACCATGGATATTGTTGGGAGACGATCAAAGGAAGAAGAGTGAGAGAGAAACGAACACACTGACGCACACTACTCTCGTGTGTTGTATAAGAAAGAAGAGAAAGAAACAGCTTCTGAGTTATGTCATGTTTGGTTACATGGCCTACCGCGGAATCAAACGCAACGTAAGTTTTGGTGCTGCGTTTAATTGTACGCACTATCCACCTCCACTGTTTTGTTTATTGTATTTTACGCTATTGCCTTCGATGTGGGAGTAAATTACCTTACCTCTCCTTCGGACGGGTCCTTGCACCTTTTATCTATAGGCCCTTGGAAAGCCCTTTCGTTCGTTCAGTTCTTTTAACTGTACGGCAAAAAATAAAAACAGATTTGGTTAGGCCAATTGTGTTGGTTGGGTACATATTGACTAGGTACTGATGATAATGCAAGTTTTGTGGTTTGAACTGAAAAATAAACATAACAAAAGTGCAAGGGTGGAGTGGAAGAAATTGTTTGTCCATCAAGATTAATATATGTATATAACTAAGTTAAATTTATTTTTGAAGTGGTTAATTAAGGATGAATCAAAGTTAACTATCATTAAATATTTCAATAATTTTATGAGATTATTATATGCATTAGTAATTGATTCAATCACGTTTGTAAAATAACTTTATTATATTATTAGTCATTTGTAAAATAAAATTAATCAAATTTACATAGACAATTAACCATGTGTGGTATTAAATAACCTTGTAATATTATTAATCATTTATAAGATCAATACAATTTATTATATTTACATGTCATTGACAATGTATAATGACCAATAATCTCACAACATTATTAATCATTTATGATGTAAAATTGATTATTATTAAATATTTTGATAAATTAATGAGAAAAATATATTAATAATTATTTATGCAATTAAGTCTATTCATCTTTAACCGTATGTAAAATAAATTAAATTAATTATATATATAATATAATTAATCACATATATATACAATTAAATTCATTTGCTTATAACCACATATAAATTAAAATTATATATATA